ACAAGGCGTAAACAATGCACTTTCGAGTGCTTTGAATTTGATAGAAAGAGAATATACTTCTATGATTTCCGTTGTTTTATTTTTCGCTTTTTGATTTTCTTATGAGCAGGACGGGAAAAAGCCACTTGAAATAATCCAAAACTTGAGGTTTTAATTTCCCCCCCCAAGTACGGGCACAACTTTTTGGGGCGTCTGGTGACTAATCCGGCCGAAATGAAAGTTTGTCATTGTCTGGGCTGGCTGGGTCTTTCCACCCCGCAGGACGAATAGAGTCATAAATAATCGCGACCGGCCCCTTTATGGTGTTAATACCTTAAGAGCTTGAGCACAGTTCGTTGATATTTTTGTTGCACTTCTTCGCATGTGTCACGCATTTAAAGGCTCATTCATTTAACCATAATCCCGGTTGCAACCCTGCGCAAATGCGGCAACCCTTAGGAATAATTGAGCCACATTTTGGCACGTGCCGCAGTCAAAAGCGAAGCCTGACGCATGCTTCGCCTTTCGAGTGCAACAATTATGTTACAATAGAAGCAACAAAAACCATTTAAATTTTATTGATTTCAATTTAAATGATTCAATTTGTAGCACAGAAACTGCGATAATTCTCGCAGGCAACAATGCCACCTACACAAGATACAACACAAAAGATATTCACGCCCAGGAGACACCTACCCATACAAAGGGCGCGGTCAGTGCTGCTCATTTAGCCGTTTTCTAGCTAAATTAGACTTAAACTATTTCAAAATAACACAATCCTTCGCAAAAGAAGGGAGCTTCTTTTGTACCTACAAAGAGCGAAATCAGCTATTTTTAGCATTGGATTCAGCTACACTTGACAACACTTGCTCACAGCTGTCTCGCAAAGGCATGTTTCTCGTTCGGCCTGTTTGCTCATGTGGCAAGCTTTGGCTATCATTAATACAATACAGCTAAGAGGCCAGACTAGACGTTCATTAATATGCGTCATTGTTTTCGTCCCAAACTGGGACCCGGTCGTGGGAGCCAGTGGGAGCCGCAGCTGAGCGCATTTACTGACACGTTGACTGTCACGTTAAATGCAATTTGTAAGTACAGTGGTCACACGGACACTAGAGAAATAACAGTAGAAATGATAATAATAATAATAATAATAATAATATTAATAATAATAATAGTAATAATAATAATAAAAATAATAATAATAATAATAATACTAATACTAATACTAATAATAATAATAATAGTAATAATAATAATAAAAATAATACTAATACTAATACTAATACTAATAATAATAATAATAATAATAATAATAATAATAACAATAATAATATTAATAATAGTATTATTGTTATATCTGAGCAGTCAGCCCAGTCTATCTAGTCTGATCTCAGAGCTAGAGAATCGTCGATAAATATCGATTATTAGCTCATGGCTTGTGAACTAATGAAACAACATTCGGCATGCAGTTTCCTCACAGTAAAACAGGAATATCAGAATTGAGAATTGGTTCAAATATCGAGCGATCACTGTACTGCAGTATCAAAGACAGGGCACATCTATGGCTACATGCTAGTAATTTGATTGTTCAGCTCGAGTGGTCATCATCAACATCAGCGTCATCATCATCTTCGCCAACATCATCAGCAGCATTCGTCGCCGCCGCCTAATTGAAAATCAACTCAATTTACGGCTGGAACATTTACATTTACGCACAGCTCTTAAGCATGACAAGCTTCAAGCTCGACTTGATTGAGTCAGGTCAAAAGAATTTAAATGGACACACAGTGTTACAATAACTGGAAGAGCAGCTCTCAAACGGAAGCCTGAGCATGCATATTTCAACGATCCAGCCAACATCGCGGCATTTGTTGACATTTGCATAAATTGCGTCTTCAAGTGGATTTCGGGCGTTGGTCATTAAAAGAACGTGCCTAGGCCGAGCTCCGTTCAACGTATTCTCAATTGAGATTGTGGCAAGTTGTTTTCCTGGTCCGCAATTAGACAGACAGCAGCTAATTTGAATTGAAAGCAAGACACACAAGACTTGAGCAGAAGATGTACAGATCCCTCAGATAAACTCAGGAAGCGAACAATTTGCTAAATGACAGTTCGTCTTTTGCCAAACAAGCAGAGTTCAACAACTTTTTTGCTTAAACAACTAAACATTTAAATTTGTAGCCATGCAAGAGTCATTGATAGACATCTTATTTTTGATCAAGATGTGCAAGAAACCAAAAAGAAACAGTGAGTATTATTATCAACCTAGTCACAATATGTTTAACACATTGAAGCAGACATCTGTAACCCCATCTTTAACCCCATCAACAGCCGAGTCAATAAATTTATGCCTGACTCTCTGTTGCTCTGTTCATAAGGACTATCACTTGACATCGGATCGGTTAACTATACCAGATATATATATCGATTATCAGTAGTAGAAAAACATTCAATGTTCTCAATCTTGATCAAACTTAACAATTGTGGTCTATCCAAATCCTTCTTGAACTACTCCGTGGACTTTAGGTCGAAACGACAAGTGTATTTGAAGTTCGGCGCGAGCCTGTTCTATCTGGCTAGCCAGATTCTTTTGCAATTATTTAGTAGTTAATTGCGTGCAGATATGAAATGTATGTTCAAGACCTGTTGCCATACACTTATATGTAATTGTCATTACCTCACTGACAAGCTGTCATCGTGTCATTGTTTAATTGTGCACAAAAAATAATACAAGCAATAAAAGCGCCAAACAACAGACAGCATTGGCAACAACAATTCTTGGCTAGCAAACTAGCTACCAAAAAGAGTTGGCCAACCAACATGGACATTGGCCGGAATGAATGTGCAAAAGCAGCGAATGGCATTTAAGGCGCTGACCTTATGAGAACTACCATCTTGGGAATATGTTTTTATATAGAATGTGTGCCATTATCTGATCAATAAAACACAAATAACATATATAAATATCAAGCCAAGTACAGTACTCAAACCAAAAAATGAACTTAACATAAAAGAAAGTTGAAACATTTAATTTGTATGTAGAGTAAATCAAGCATGAGAGTTAAAGTAAAAGTGGCACGCAATTCGAGCAGAATGTTTTTTTTTTTTTTTGTAAATATACACTCAAAATCGATTTTTTGTATTTTGCAAGCCAAACAAAAGGCAGTTGCGGCCAGCTACGTGAGTGAAGGTATTAAACAAGATTTGCATAAAAAAATGTGTGAAGGAATCCCCCTCCCCTTCGGTAAAAGAAAGAGAAACAATCTAAAAGCGTGAGGCTAGCACCTTCGTATCTGAGTTAATACGTGAGATTTTGATAAAACTGACGCTTAGATAAAGTCAACATTTAGACACTAAACGGCAAACACAGGCAACAATACGACAAAACATGATACAAAAGACAAAAGCTTGAGCAAAAACTACTTTGCTGATAACTGAAGTGTGCCGCCGAGTGGAGGACAAGTGCTACCAGACCCAGACCCAGACCCAAGCCCAGTCCCAAGCCCCACGAGCCGAGACGCAGACCTGGAGGCACGTGCACACCAGCAAAGGGCAGCACTTGAAAACCTTAACTAGTTATGGCCAGTTATTGAAAGTGCATGCTAACAAATACCCTGTAATGCCATGTCATAGACAAATCAACTAGAAATATGCGCAGCTTAATTCTTAATTAATTCTTGGCAACATTTCTCATATCAAAAAGTATTTATCTGTTCTTAGGAATAGTTATAATATGTATGTATATGTGTATATAAATCATATTTGTAATTGTGGCAGACTTTTTGAGTGTTCTTTTATTGGCACCAATAAAAACTTTATACAAACATTTCACAGCTATTAAAAAGGTGATTTATTGACTAACAAGTCACGATGAATTAAATAGAATTGATTTTATTAAATAAGAACACAAATTAGTGTTAGCTATTTGACTAATTTGTCCAAGTTTCAATAAAACTCAAAATAAATATTGAAATATATTTAGTAAAGATTTAAATCGAATTTGCACATATTTAAAAAATTTGAATACCTCATAAGCAAATTGATATTTCAATTAAAATTTATATTGAATCGAAAAAAAAGCTCAAATTGTGACAATAAAGTCTTGCCAAGATTTATGCTTTACAGACCTGACAGAGAACAAGAAGAAGATCTACAGCTGAAAGCTGGTTTTACAAGCTCAAGGTTGTTTAACCCCAGCAATAATAGCTGGACACTGGTTAAATATCGACAAGAACGTTTCAATTTGTTTTCTTGCCGCCAGCTTAAACTATACAAAAAACAAGTAAGAGGTTCCAGTCAGGAGCTCCCGACTAGAGGATACCCTGAACCCTCTTCTTCCAACATCAAATGCATATATATATATTCTATTTTAGAAGCTAAATGTCAAGTTTGGTGACTCTAGCTCTTATTATTTACCAAAATTGCCCAAAAAACAGGATATCGATATCGATTTTATCGATTGCTTCGAAACGCAGTTAGTTATCGATTATCGGAAACAAACTCGATCTGCGCATCTACATCTAAAATTTCAAGTCTCTAGCTCTTATAGGTTCTGAGATCCTTGCGTTTATACATACGGACGGACGGACAGACGGACGGACATGGCTAGATCGATACGGCCATTGATGCTGACCAAGAATATATATTCTTTATGGGGCCGGAGATGCTACATTCGGATTTTGCACAAATACAATATACCCTTATACCCATTTTGAATTGGTTAAGGGCATAAAAAAACGATGTGCTCAAAATTATCTTCATGTTTAAATTCCTTTTGCACAGACTTTTTGATTGGCTGCCGCTGCTCGCTAAGTTTGCCCCACTGTGCGCAAGCTCTCTGAACTTGATTGGTAACTTGTTTTCTTATTGCTGCTGCGTGTATTTGTTGCCTTTGTGCAAAACTGAATTTTGATTAGTTCTTGCTACACATTGTGCTGGGAGTTTCAATAGACTAACATTGCATGTATATACATGCACATAAAGAGGGGCGGGCAGTCAGTCGCAGACGGCGTACTCACCTTTTGACTCCAAGTTGTCAGCTGTGACGACAGCGATGTGTTGCAAGCATATGTTAAGCAACAGCAGCGGCAACAGCGACGGCAGCGACAGCAACAGCAGCCGCTGCAACTGTAAATGTGAATGTGAATGCGAAAGCAGCCGAGGCATTTTCCACGCGTTGTCTTAAGAATCCAGAGCAATTGCAATAATGTTATACGCGGCTATGTGGCTGGCTGTTGCTTTTATTGTTGTATTTGTAAAGCGGCGGCAGTAATAGTTAAGTTTGTTCTTGTCGATTGCAGCGGCAGGCAAATGCGATGACATCACTTCCACTTCCCGTGTCAGCGACTCTGTTGGGGATGCGGCGGCGAGGATGAGGCGGACTTAAATGCTGCCATCATTTGACACTGTGTCTACCAATTGGACTTGTATTAAAAACAGGATGCACCGCAGCAATTCACAACACTCGGCGCGAACAACAACAACAATGAGAACTGAAAGCACACACAAGCACACGCACGCACACATACACACACGCGTACGCACTCCCGGCGTGCTTAAGTGTAAACAAAAGCTGATACCTTTATTTGAATGTGAAAAAAAATTATAACGGCATTGATGTTTGTGCTTTGGTATGGGTTTTCGCTGCGGCTGTTGCCAGCTCTTCTATTCGCATTTGCTTTACAATTAATCGTTTGTTGTGTCTGACATATAAAATATTATTAAATTAACTAATTTCGCTATTTTTGTATTATACCATTAATATAATTTATTTAACACTCTTTGCTGCTTTGCACAGATACACGCAAACACTACACTCGCGAGCGCATATATATGTACATAGAAGCTCTAAAATACAGCTGGGCTACGCGCTGACACAACAATCTGAACTAAAAACAACCGTGGGCAACACCTCGCACGACGAGAGTTGCAAAGAAACTGACGAAAGTCGTTGGTAAAGAATACAAAAAAACAAGACTAACAATAACCAGGGCCGAAAAAATATCGATATATTTTGGCGATGGTCTGTTCAACACACTTCAGGCGATATAACATACGATTACTTTAACATTTCTGTTAATTACTGTACTGTTAAACGGATATCGTATCACACGCATCAGTCAGCTTTTTGTCACGCTGTTGTATTACCCGCGCGTTTGAATTCATATAAAATAAATAGAAAAAATACTCCTTGAATCAGTCAATATGAACAGAAAATAGTTGACTATTAAGCACCGTGTCCATTTAAATTGTATTACAACTGTGTAGATTATGCAAATATTTAAAATATATAACAAAGGGTATTTGCGGCCAAACGAAGAAAATAAAATATTAATAACGTATTTTAATATTTCCTCTCTAATCTATTTTATGACTTCGCTGTATCGCATACGCTTTCTCATTTATCTATCTCTTTCTTATGTGACCTTTCTATGCGATTTTCATAAAATCAATTAAGCTTAAATTGAAACACATTTAGCTGTTTTTTGATATTTTTAGTGAAACAATAATATATATATAACAATTAAACAATATTCTTAAAAGTAGGCAATAAAATACTTGCATATACAACTTATACATATAGGATCAGCAAGGCTACACTTAACAGCCTGTACATAACGATTAGAACTAGTTACGCTTGCCGTTTAGACGATCCTGGATCTGTTGCAGACTCAGGCCCTTGGTCTCCATCACGACAAACAGCACAAAGAAGAAGGCCACCACACAGAAGCCAGCAAAGAGCCAGAATGCATAATAGGAGCCAAGTGCATCGAGCGCCGGATAATAGCGTGTGACCAGAAAGCCGAGAATCCAGCAGGTGCTGGCCACCACGGAGGAGGCAGCTGATTTGATATTAGCAGGAAACATCTCGCCCAGCACAGCCCAGGGCAATGGACCAAAGCCCGTGCAGTAGACAATATTGTAGATGATCAATGCGGGCACCGGCAGCCAAACCACACTCGAAACGTCACCCACAACCAGCTGCATGTAGAAGAAGAAGCCCAGAGCTGCCAGACCGACGCTCATCACGCTGGCCGAGATGAGTAGCAATACCTTCCTGCCCAGGCGATCCGCTACGATGGGTGTAAGGCCCGAGGAGCTGACCTGTACGCAACCAATAATAATCGTGGCTATGGCCGGATCCAGGCCAGTGTTGGCGCTGGCAAAGATCGACTGGCTGTTGAAGAGCACCACATTGATGCCGGAGAGCTGCTGGAAGCTGATGAGACCGGCGCAAATGAACAGGGCCTTGCGATTGCTGGGATTCTTCACCAGATCCATGACAGTGCCCTTACTGGCCATGGCCTCCTCCACGTTGGCCTGTATAGTCGTCATCTCGTCGTGCACACCCTCGGCGCTCTGGCCGCGCAGAAACTGCAACGAACGCAGCGCATCCGTCTTGCGGCCCTTGCCGGCCAAGTAGTAGGGGCTCTCGGGCATGAAGAAGAACACCACATCCGAGATAATGGGCACCACCACGCAGCACCACTGCAGCGCCTGGTAGGACACAAAAGGGCCGATGGCATAATCAAACAGAATGCCAGCTGTGGATGAGAACAGAAAGAGTTAGATTCAGAAATTTCAGAGCCGCTCGCCTGGCTACTCACAAACAATGAAGAGCTGCATTAGTGAGCCGGTGGCGCCGCGCACATTGTCAGTGGAAATCTCGCCCACATACATGGGCTGCACGGTCATCACGAAGCCCACGCCGAAGCCCTGAACCAAGCGAGATAGATACAGGATCCATACCTCGGATGCCACCATGTTGAGCAGAAAGGCGAGCACAAAGAATACGCTGCTGGAGAGCAGCACCCACTTGCGTCCAATGCGATCGGCCAGAGGGCCGGCGACAAAGGGTGCCAGCAGGGCGCCAATGGCGATTAGCGAAGATATCCAGGCATCCTCATCGCCCGTGATGGGCCGGCTCAAGGGCGAATCTGAGGTATCTTCGGCCTTCAGTTTGGGTCCAATGGGCGATGTCCAGCCCAGGCAGGTGCCCACAACAAACGCAGATAAGTTGGCTACAATTGCAGTTAAATTCAGAGAGAGTTTATTTTGTCTCACGTGCAGCTGCTTCAGTTAACCCACCTGCCACAGCGGCCAAAAAGATGCGACCCGTTTTCACCGGTTCCATATTGCGCGATAAGCCGTCGCTAATCTGGAAGGAGCTTACTTCAGTGTAAGACTGTTCACGCTTCTCTCCCAACTGGCTCATTGCTGGCATCTGGCTTGCTCACGAGTAGCAGCTGCAAGATTAAAGCGTGCACACACATTTCAATTAACAATTAAACATTTTAAATACAATTATTCGCGAGCTAATAGTGCACATTAATTGCTTAACGATGCTCTTGAAGGGCTTCCACTCGCTGACCAGGACTGTGCTACATTAGCTCCGCATTAAAACTGAATTTTGTATTATATTGCGTATACGCCGCGTTGACTCACAACCAAATTCAAAGTGTGGCATTTCAACCTATTTACGAATACCATTTCGTACATTTATGTATGTTTTTTTGTTTTTTTTTTTTTTTTTTTACACATATCCACAGAAGCTAAATGTGCTTGTTTAGGCGCAATTTCCAAAAGCATTTCAATTGTGTTTTAGGTAAACAAAAGTAGCAAAAAATGAATTTGAAATTGAAATGAAATGAAAATATGCGCACAGTTTTTGCCCATATAAACAGCGAGTACTTTTAATGAGCCCAAGTCATAAATTGCAAAAATTATTTTAATTTGCACTCTGGACATAGCCTATGGCAATTATTATTATTGTCTGTCCTATAGTTGGCACTTTCCATTATAAATATAAATTAAATAAAATAAATTCACTTAAATCAATGCTAAATATATATTTGCTTTAAAACTGGTTTCACTCTGATTTGAAAATCCTTACTTGAAGTCGAACTAAATTTAAACGAGACGAAATGCGAACCGCAAGCCTTAAAGCTGAGAAACGAAATGCTGCTGCGTACAGCGAGCGGCACGAATTTAAAGGCCTTTTTTTGGACCTGTATTAAAACCTTAAGTAAATACAATATCAATAATGCTCACCAGCACTTACACACACACACGCACACAGTCTGTGAGAGGCAAATGTAAGAGCGCATTATCTTATCAGAAAAGCCGCAGCTCTATGGCGCATCCATCTAGTACTCGATCATCGTTACGTTCTGTTCTCGGATTCTCGGTTCGATGCAACTACTACTGTGAATTTGTGTCTCTTGTCATATATATTTTTGAAATGAAATATTTTTGTTGTACAAATTGCGCCACTTGCATTTGTGCATTTTGCACTTGAACCGGCCCATGCGATAAGCCGTCGTTTCTCATCCAATCTCAATTTGTTTGCACAGCTCGACCCACTTCAGCCGAAAGTCGCCAGTTCGATGGGCTGTGACACAGGTCTAACAAGAATCAAATTTTCGAGTCCACTTTAGTAACAAATAATTCGTAATTTTTAAGCAATTTCCGTTAATTGTTTACGCTACACTCGCCAATCGAAACGGTTCGAGCAATGTGTTGACTTGATTCTGTCATAAAAACACTTGGTTCTATTATGTAATGTATGTGCATACGTAAGTATCTACTTAGTTAGGGACTATCTATAGATATTGGCGAACATCTACGCCCATACTGGTTATTTGAATTGGATTAGACACATGGTACGGGGGAGTAGGTAGTTGGGTCAAGGTTTGCCACATAACTGTGCGTCAATTAAAGAAAAGATTGTCTAAGAATTTGTATATAGCTTGTTAGGGACTATCCGTGCTCTATACGGGTTATTTAAATTCTATTCGACGTAGTTCGCTCAAGGTTTTCCACATATACTAAGCACTTGGTTAAGAAAAGCTGGCTGGAAAATTTTGAAAAGCACAATGGGCTGCCTTTCTTATTAGATTACGACCTAGGTCACTACGAGAAATTTAAGTGGCGCAGAGCGTTTTCTTAAATTAGATTAGAATGCCGGAAAACATGGATCGCTCTTTCAGCTAATTTGCTACGAATTCCTAGAAACATCTCACTTAATTGGGTGTGTTTTCTTTTTCTTCATTTCCTTTTTATGCTTATGCAATTTTACTAAGGTAAATTCTACACAAATTATATGTTTAATATGTGAGCCACTTCCTAGTCCACACATACTTTGGCGCCTAATTTCAACTGGCATCAGCAAAGTTTTTTTTTTTCCATAACCTATGTCACATTTTTGATAATAACATTAACAATAACAATAACAACGCGGCAAATATATGATTAGCCCTAAATAATTTGATAGGTGTCAGCATCTATTTTACCTACTGCTAGATGTGTGTGTCTGTGAGCGGACGCCAAAGTTTTTTTCTTTAGTGCAAATGAGGCGAGACAACGGAAATTAATACGAGCAAAGAAAACAAGTATATGTATGTATGGGTGTGTGTGTGTGTGCCAGGGCTGTGTGAATTTTAACAAACCAGACTGCCTGTTGCTGCTTAGATATTTAATTCTCTTTGCTTTTGTTGTGTTAGCAACTGTTATACTGCTTATGTATGTGTTTGGCATAGTCAGAATGGTCGCTTGTATTGGCGCAAAAGACTAGCCATTGGCGCTCCTCGCAATTGTGTTTAAGCCTGGGTTCGAATCCCCGCGGTGGTTGAAACAAAATGTTTTAAAATTTAATAATATCCGCTTTGACATGTATTTTAAACTAAAATAAAATATTAGGAGAAACACTTACAAATGTTTCTTTTATGATATGTGCTTATATTCGGTCGGTGTCTGCTTAAAGCATGTTGTTTATAAATTATTGCACCCGCGCACAATGCCGGGTAATTTCTTCTAACAGTTTAGTATGTTCTAGTAAGTATATCAGCTTCTGACACATTGACACTAATTGGCAATCAAGTATTCGGCGAAACTGATTGATAAGAGATGCTGCCAACATATGGGCCCACTGTTGTCGTACACTATTTCGAGCAAGTCGCGAAATTCGGGCTTAATCAATATTTGTATACAACATTCATTGATAAAATTCAATAAATCAGACGGCGGACAACATGGAAGATATGTAGCTGGATTTATTATTGCACATATACATATGCATGTGCATATGTGTATATAGATAAACCGAGTGTGTCCGCGTGTGTGTATGGCAGCTGCCAAATAACAATTAATAAGCGACAGTGACGTAAAAAGCCGCACTCGCAGTGTTGTTAATGAGAGAAAACTAGAGAAGGTTGATGACAACACGCGCAAGTGCTGACACTGCACCGCAAGCGGCTGCTAAGCGGACCTTTTTTACAACTTGTTTTCTTTTGGACAACACTAAAATGAAATGCATGCTTAACAAGTTTATGTTGATTACAAATGTGGCAGTTAGATGACTTTTTATACTCTGAACTCATTGACTAACAAAATGTTATAATAGTTTTGTGCAAATGTATGTAGTCAGGCAGGAGGAAGAGAGTTTCTGTGTCCCACATGTTCTTCACCAGACGAGTTTCGAACTTAGCACGCTCAGATCGAGTTGGTTTTAAATCATCGATAGCCCGATATCCACGCTGCCGCGAAATCGATAAGAATCGAATCGATATCCTGTTTGCTGGCCATATCTCGGAGCTTATGAGAGCTAGGAAAACTAGCTTCACACAGTCTGAATTCAAATTTATGCCTTAACTCTTATAATATAATTAATCATTTCTAAAATTTCAGCCCAGTACTATATACTCACAAAAAATGAAAACTGACTGAAAGGATGTTTCGTAAATATTTGTTAAACACAACAAATATCCTGTGCCGCTGCAGAGCAACTAGAAGACCACTTGCTACGACGGCAAATCAAAACTGTTGACCACGTTGGGCACTGGCCCAGCACTTGATCATGGCCCACAAAACGGAGCCGCATACTCAAATAAAGGTTACCGATTGCCATGCATTTTTGATAATAATGTTTGGAGGGTCTATCGTAACGTTTCGTATCGCTAGAGGCCCACAAAGTCACAGAGGAATTATTAACGTACTTAACAATGTTCAGCGTATTTAATCAGCACTCGAATAACAGAAACATTTCCATAGTAAATCAAAAACAATTTAAAAAAAAAAAAAAAACCCAAATTACATTTATGAAGTGTTAATTTAATAGTTTTTTTTTTTTCAGTTAGTACTCACCCATTTTGCCAAAATAATCAATTAACGCACAACAATAATTAATTTTTTTGTTCGTTTTTAATTTGGATAAATTGGATTTAGTATAGCCTCCCACCAGCCGGACACTGTGGATATATTTATCGTTGCTGCACTTAAGATCAGAGAGAACTGTCGTCTATCGTTGCCGGAACCCGAATGCTAGCTTTGCGCGAATGTTTTGACGATTTTGTGGGCCTATTTAAAATGTAAAAAAAAAAAAAAAAAAAAATTGAGCCGAGAATTTATGACAGACGCATTCACAGTTCGTGTTTAGTTGTAGCAAATGCGAGTAAGATAATAAGCACATATCTACTATATACGATCACTATGGAAAATGCACACACAAGCACACACCAACACACACATGGTATGACTATTATATCGTTTTTGTCGCCGAGCCATACGATCGTTGAACTGAGCTGCGCTTCAAATTGTGCGATTTTTTATCACTCTGCCTTTTGTCCCGTGTGAACTGGCGAGCAAATCAAAACAAGCTATAAAATATTCAATTACACTTAATGCAATATTATAATAATGAAACTAAACAATCAATGCAGACAGTTTCTGAATTTTAATTTAAATTCCATCGACTTGTTCCGCACAACATATGCTGGAAAATTTCTTGATTAATCTCTTGCGACGCGCTAAACCCAAAAAAAAAAAAAAAAACGGCTCAATTTAAGCACTTTGAGGAAGTTCATTGATATGCAACGGTCGGCTCACGGGGGGATTGACTTATTTAGTCGGCGTTTCGCTACAGCTGAGCATTAAGCGAGACTCGTACTCAAATCTTAAGTATTGTGAACGTGCGTGCCTTTAAAACGCGTCAACTAATTAAAATGTCGCCGATGTAGTGCCTACTCGGTATGTTTATTTTGATTCGTTTCTTTAATTGGAAATATATTTGCGTCATCAGACACACAGGCAATAACTACCGGAATCAGAATCGTTGTTGGAATCGGTTACAGCACAAAATGAATGATATAAGACAGATCGATTTATAAATAAAAGCGAACGTGCTTATATTAAGAAGGAGGCTCGATTCGGTGATGCAAAAGGAAGCCAATCGAATTTGAGGTCCGGTTCCGTTCACTGACGCGTGGCACCTTTTCGTCTTTCAAAACTGGTTTCCACATTTCACTGGAGTCCACTGTGAGTGGATTATCAAAGTTTAGTGACTTATTTTATTTTATTGCAACACATTGACTCGCTTAGAAATGATTCATTCGATTAAAAATCAGCAGTTGATTTTACTTTGTACATTTCTTTGCAATTTTCATTTCATTCCCTGACAGAGTACTCTTATTGGATGATGCTAAGCTTAAGAAATACTAAGCTCTAAAGTACATTATAGCATATCTAAGAATAATAACAGGAGATTAAAAGATAGAAAATGGCAATTAGAAGGAGAAGCACAGCAGAAAATCTTTGAACCTTACTTGAATTCATGAGAATCGCATAGTACGGCGATATTTAAAAGGACATTATTATTGCAACGAAATAGTAAGTAAGCTTGGTTTTCCTTTAGTACAAGTGAATATAATAGAAATATATATAAATTCTTGCTGCGCGTATAAGATCATATCTCCCGGGTTTCTCGAATTCGATCAATCAGGTTGTAAACAACATTTAACAGGGTAGATGTTTATAATTTGGATTAAAGTTTGTCAAATGCTAAATAATAAGATTACATACAATCGTTTTTCACCAATTTCCCGAAGCACCGCCCTAATGGTGCACCTACAGCACTTACTGTCATAGTTTGCCGAGGCCTGTTTTGCATGTAAACAATATCTGACAGGAGCATGCCTAGCCCATTAGATATATTTGCTAATTCGGATAGCGAACTGTCAAGTGTTTAACAAATCAAACAATTTATTTGCCAGACACTTCGGCAACAGTTACAATAAGCAGGCATATAAATATGATATCCAATGAGACGTTATCTGCTGGCAATTTGTAGCTGGCTTAAATGGCATTATAGAGACACTTACTACCAACAACAACAACAACAACAACAACCTGTTGCATATGTGAGCAGGCAGCCGCTTTGGCTATGAGTGTTTGAAGGGGGGCTCCCAACTGGCGCTTCCTGACATCGTGTTGGTGGCAACAGGAAAAGAATGTAGTTAAATATTTGCATACGACAAAAAAGAGTGCTGGCAATTGAAAAGTGGAACAACAACAATGCCTGTAATTGACGCTACCTGGCATCGAATCAATTTGCGTCGGTGCGTCGGACTATCTATCTATCTATCTATCTATCTATCTATCAATTGGCGACCTTGCCAATGCCCGAAGGCCAAGTGCAGGGCCAACGGGAAGCGAACCGATTGCTAACGGCGCCAAATGTGGGCGTGGCCAGCAGGGCATCTCGTCGTATGACTGTGCACCGAATTAATTATGACAGCCGCTGCTGATTAGCCGCAAATTTAAGGGGCGTTGCCGTCGCCAGGCGCCCAATGCAGCCCATCAACAGGCCGGGTGATGGGTTATCGGAGGGTTCAATGCAACATATATGTATGTATATTTGAGTGGGTTGCTAATAATATATTTATATATACACATTTATTTAAACATATACACATGTCTTTACAGCCGCACACACTTAACACATACATATCAAATACATTAAGAAGACGACGAAAATAGCAAGACGAATCTCGTTCTCTATCGAGCTGGAGAAATTGTCCACAACATTTGGCTGAGTACTTAAAAAATAAATAAGTCTAAACTAATAAAACCATATGATAAATATTGTACATTGTGCGTGGCACACGGCGTATGCGTCATTTTGCCCATGGCCTGTTCTGCTTAATTAGCTCGAATCATCTTTTTAATGGCCGCTTAGCCACGTTTGTATTTGGCTGGAGGTCTTGCCCTTTGTTTCGACCACCGCAAGTGCCACATACACTGTGGCAACGGCCATGCAGCCGGCAAAGAACCAGAAGGTCATGTCCGAGCCCCAGTCGGTGATCATGATGCCAAAGCATTTGGTAACCACAAACACGCACAGCCAATTGGCCATGACGGTGAGCGACACGGCAGTCGCTCGGACATCGGGCAGAAAGAGCTCGCCCATCATCAGCCAGGGTATCGGACCATAGCCCACAGAGAAGGTAATGATGAATAGCACCATGCACAGCAGCGGCAGCCAACCGATATGTGTCACATCCTTGCCGCTCTCCTTCATATCGAAGTAAGCGCCCAATATGGCCAGGCAAATGGTCATCACGGTGCTGCTGAAGAGCAGCAATATCTTGCGGCCAGCGCGTTCAATGAGCAGGGATGAGGTCAGCGTCATGATCACCTGCACCACGCCCACAATGATGGAGCAAATTGAGGCATCCAAACTGCTGCCGGCTGACTTGAATATGGATTCCGTGTAAAAGATGACCGCATTGATGCCCGAAAACTGCTGGAAAAACATCAGCAAAATGGAGATGATGAGTCCATTGCGAGCACCGCGATTCGTAAACAGATCCAAGAACGTGGCATCCGCGCTCGCCTGATCCAAATCGTTTTGTATGACCTGAATGGCGCTGCGCGAATCGCAATAACGGCCCCAGAGCCACTTGAGAGACAATGCCGCATCCGCACGACGACCCTGCGGACAGAAACAGCAATTAGATCCAATAAAGAAATTATGATGAACAATGCTCACCTTCTTTAGCAGATAGACGGGCGTCTCCGGCAGCATGAGCATGCCCACAAACAACGCGATTGGCACAAACAGGCACATTATGCTGAGAGTACTCCATGAGACCATGGCGCCCACTATATAAATAAAGAGTATGCCCACTGTGAGCAACAGCTGGAAGAGTGTGCCCAGGGTGCCGCGAATGCTCGTCTCAGCTATCTCCGAGATGTACATGGGTGCCACCACACAAAAGCTGCCCGTCGATATGCCTAAAACGGCATCAAATATTCACTTAGAATTGTCAGCAAGGCAACAAACCGGAATTAAGACCGCAAAAATCAAACGTGCATTACTAAAGGATTCGTAGACTGGGTTCACAAGCCGAAGGTTTGCACAAGTTGTTGGGCTTACCAATTAGAAAGCGACCAAAGTACAGCCAACCGGCTGATTTGGCAAAGCTGATCGACAGCCAGGCCAAAATGAATGGGACATCCATGGCCAGCGCCGTGTAACGCCTGCCAATTGTATCGGCAATATAGCCCGTGGGCAGAGCGCCCAAGAAGGCGCCAATGGCCAAAAGCGAGCTAACCCAGGTCTCTGCAAGTAAACAAATTATGAATCGATTTCAATGTGCATCTAAATGTATCCATATCAAGAAAAACTTCTTTTAAATGAGTAACCTACGTTGGGCCACAGTTAGTTGTAGTTCATCATCGTGGGGCGCAGTCTGCGTAATTGGACTGCTCGCATTTCCAGTGGAGTTTGTCGCAATCTCCGTAATATTGACGGGCGTACGCACACTGATCTGCGGCAGCACAGGACTCGTCCAGGCCAAGGCTGTGCCAGCAGCGACTGCGCCCAGGCAAACTGCAAGTGTATATTCAAGCAAACAAGTGTTTGGGTTATCAACATTTGTGCAATACTCAAACGTAAACTTACCCACAAGTGCAGCAATATATTGACGTGTCTTGGAGGTCTTCACAACGCCGTCCTGCAGCGGATCGTAGAGCATGGGATTGCGTGACGCGGCATCGGTATCCTCTTGGCTGACGGTCTATGCAGAGCAAGAGATTTCAAAATATTTCAAATATCGCATCGACTATTGACTTCTACGTTGAATCTATTTTTGTTTGCAACGACACGTGCTGTCGGTTGCTGCCACACAAACTGGGCCAAAGACAAACATTTTTTGCTAACAAAGTTCTGCTCAAAATGAGCTAAGCATTTGCCGGCGAGCTTATATTAAAGCCTATATATATATATATATATATATATATATATATATATATATATGGTATTATATGATTCAAGAACTTTAAAATGCCACATAAAGAGCAATTGGAGGTCATGATACGCAAGAAATCGCAAAAGCCGATCAAAATAAGCAAAAATAATGTAAATAATAATGCATAAATGAACTGATAGATATACGACTTTTGTGTATAAATATTTGAGAATCGATGTGTGTGTATCTGTGTGTGCTTATTTTTAAAAAGAAGGTGTGTGCATTTCAATGTTGCCCTGTCTCCTGCATTGGAATAAGCCAATATTGGGCCATTACCTGCCACCAGCGCGCCATGGCGCGCACTACTTTATCCGAGTCCATTGTCAACTCTCTGGGAATTGGCCAATTGAGAGTATTCCCGAACGCGTTATATAAACACAAAAGCTATCAGCAGACGCACAGTTTATAGACACTTTATTTATAGGTATTTTCGATCTTTATATTCTGTCGCGACTTTTATTTTTCCTATTATGATATTTGGTCATTAAACATTTGCATATATAGATAGATGTTAATGTGCCTATATTGTATTTATATACAAAAGAAAATTGTATTTTCCGCTAATTTTAGTTGATGGCTCCGCGCTTTTTTTTGGTCCGTGCGGCCAACACAGTTGGAGACGACTGTTTTGGCGACTCTTCGAAAAACGTATTTTCTTCTCAGATCTTTAAATTTGCGGCGCTTCTTCTATTTTGGCCGATACTCTCTAGATATTCTGGCAGCATTTTCCGATTACATTAGCAAATTCGTAACGTTTTAAATGATCTAGAACGCAGATATTATCGAATGAAAGTACAAGTCGAGTTTTTAGAAAAATGTATATGTCGACTGTTCAGACTCTTAGTCTATAGTCTGTTATATTAACTTTGATATAAACTGAAATACATGTAGTTTGTGTTGACTTTTTGTAGGGTATTTAAACTTCGGTAAAATGCTATTTATTTTACGTGTTGTTTTGGCTTTTCATTGGGATTACGCGCATTTAAATGCACAACATTTCGTATTTTACGTCAGACACAATAGAAAAGTGCATCGTGGACTCGAACGAGTGTCCAAAGGTGCAAGAAAATTATCTTAAAGATGTTCATATATAAAGAACTAAATAATTGATTTTAGGTAGGATTAGATTTGTGTCTGAGATACTAGGAAATAGATTGTATATAGTCGCGCTCATAATTGTAGCACATTCTGAACGATTTCATAACAAACATACACAAATGTTACGCATACGCCCCCGCGTCCAACTAAACAAACACTTCCTGTAATGTCTATAAAAAATTGCGTTGCTGTTGCACTTGCCAAAAATGCCATTCGACGACATTCAAATGCGTCAGGTAAAAGCATTTTAAAACTTGCAGAATAACTAAAACTAAACGGATATACACTTGCATCTGTACTTTGTATATACACACGTAATCACAAATACGTATGTGAATATCATTAGAAAAACAGACAAAATAGTTGTCTGTGAGAGGCGAGAGATTTATTTCCCTTTGTAGGTATTATTATTTAATAACAAATTCCATTACCGATGCACGATATTGATAATTTATTTTCCAGTAAGCTCTGTCAACTACATTTTCCTGAGCATTCCCAAAAGCAAAAGATCAACATAGTAAGAAATAATTATCATTATAGCACATTCCAATTGGGAAATTCCCAATTCCCATAGGCGCGATTTAGATATGGCTATAAAGCTTCATCTTGTTGCCCTGTTCAGTATTATTTCGAACTATTTTACGGTATAATATGTTCATTAAAGATATCGTAAAATACTTCAAATACCCTCTGAAAAGCAAACAAATTTACGTCGTAAGTACAAATGTATTTACACATTTTATATATATCTATATCTGGGTGTGATATTGAAATCCTTTTGGGAATGCAAACGAGCACATCAATGTTATCAAAACGGAATGTTTAATTGTAAAGCGTACTAGACAAACGTAATTGCATTTAATGGCGTCAATTGATATTCAAATGTCAAATAAACCTGTCGCCATACCCTGCAACAACAATAACAACAACAGGTCAGCTAGAACGAGAGAGAACGAGCGAGGGGAGAGCCTATAAAATGCATTTGCCGTGCAGAGCGACCGAGAGACGGAGAAACGAAGAGAGCGAGAGACACACCCACCAGTCAAAGGAGGCGCATCACATGCTAATTAGTTTTTCGTTTTCTTTGCTCTGTTTACTTTTTGCCAATTCCCCCTTGCCGATGCCCCAATGTCAAGTGCAATCATCGACATCAACATCGGCGTCGGCATCGGCATCGGCGCCAGTATTGTTGACGCCGTTGCGCCTCGTGTCTTTCGCAGAACACGAAGACAACGGTTCTCGGCAATCGCTCGTTGTAGTCGTCGGTCGCTGAATCGTGTGCTGCGCACAGGCTAGCTCTGAAATTTATTTGCTCTCAGCAGCTCTAGAGAATGTGTGATTAAAAATCCCATAAAGAATTATTTTTTATTTGCATTAAGGGACAAAGAATCAATTATAAATTCTATTGCTGTTTAACTTAAGGGTGTGTACAAGAGTACAGTGGCGCACAACAAGGTGCGTGCAGTCTCAATTGATAACATTACCTGTCGATACTAGTTGGAGATAGTATTTTGCGAGAATATAAGCCGAAAAAAGGCTTCTCTGATCGCATAAACTATATACATACATATGTACATATATTCTTGCTCAGCACCAACCACTGCCCGTTCGTTCGTATGTATGAAAACTTGTATGTATGTGTGCGTGCATGCATGGCTGGATGTGTTATGCATGTATGGGTGCATGCATTGCGTATGTTTGAATGTGTGTGCTCTTATGCCAAACATAGGCAAGGTTACATTTCTTTTCGTTTCGAGCGTGTGTGTGTGAAGTTTCTAAATGAGTATAAGATCTTGTTGCTTGAATCTTTGAATCAATTCATTCATTTCAAGCTAATACGACTTATAGACATTTCCCAAGTAATAATAATATTCATTTCTTATGGTGCGCATTCTAAGGCTGCAAAATGCATTGTTTATGGCGGATGCGCTGGCCAACAGACATGTAAATATTATTGTTGCTTCGCAGATTGCTCGACAGCTCGCACAAACAAGATAAAAATGTTCAAACATGTCCGGTCTGGAAACATAAACAATAAGCGATAGGGTCCAGAACGGCAACAACACTAAGCTATAGAGTATATAGTGCTTGTGTATGTATATGCATGTGTATATATGAGTATATGTATGTGTGTATTCAATGTGAAATATGTGCCTTTTTTTTGCGCGATAAAACAAAACAATATTCAATTTTTGACAATGCACGACATAAGTTTAATATAGTCTATAATATCGTGTCTCTACTTATCACTGTTATCAGCAGAGAGTATGTCTCTGCTAATCTAAATGCCAGCATGTATATATATATATATATGAGCGTACATATGAAAATCTAAATCATAAATCGTCACATTTAAAGGTCTTTAATTGGTCATTATCAAAAACAGGCAGTTCTCACGTGAACTTACGTATTGTCGTGGCTTCTTAAGTGCTGCCCAAATATACTTTTTTTTTTTTTTGGAAATTTAATTTATATGGAAGGGAGTACGCAACTATGAGTTACCCAGTAGAATGTGTGGCTGTCGAAAAATATTATGCATAAGCACGTATTGGAGAGTCAAGTGATTATTTATTGCCCGCTTGTCCACACCGAGAGCTATGGGTACTTGTAGTTAAATACTCTTATGACTGTTAACTGAAAGCAAAAACGAAAAGTTCTAATCCAGTCATTTGCTTAATTGCTCCATTAATTGGCCCACAAACCAAGGTAAGCTATTCAAGTAGTCCATTGCTTGTATGTGGGGTTTATGTTCATGGTCTCTGATAGGATGACGTTTAATAATTTATGAAATCTAATGGCTTGGCAATAGACGTAATAAAGTAAACATTCAAAATTCGACAAAAGTCATGGTAGGATTTGAGGTTTGCACTAGAATTCCGATGTTGGGATCGAGATAAGATATCTAACCTAAAGTAGGAACTAATGGGTAATAAATTAGCTTAAAGATTGTGGATTTTTTATATCAAATATTCACTTAACCAAATACAATGCTGGGCATTAGTATAAAACCAATGATGAGCATATCAAAACTTTTATCAGACCTAAGCATAGCATACTTTTCAGTAACCATCTGATCATTAGCTTAGCCCAATAAAAGCACTTGATTTTTGGAAAAGTAATTAATAACATTTTGATAATTTATTTGGCAACAAATTTGAACATATTTGAAAATGCAATTATAGATTTTAAATGAATTTAGGTTCAGCTTTTGGGTTATTTTCCAAGTTGATACGTTCTTACCTTTTTAATATCCTCAGTGGCAACCATAGTTAATGTAGTCTATATAAAAAGTACCCGAGAATTTATTTTGATGGTGTTAAAATGTTAAATGTTAATTTATTTAACTAATTTTTTTTTTTGTTCCAGTTTAAATTGAATGGCAACGTTTTTAGTATCGAAACGTGTGGATGGGCGCACTGAGAGCCCGAGCAAAACTGAATTTCTCTAAGGAAACGCGCTTAACAGCACAGCTAAAAGCCAACGCTGCCAAGACCCAGCGCAGCGCGTCGACTGCGACGCGGCGTCGTCAATTGATATGTACATATGTGCGTACGCATAGCGCGACAGCAGCAGCGACGCCAGCGTCGACTGCGCACTGACGCTTCGATTTGCATTGACATACGCGACCCGTCGTCAGTCAGTTAGCTGGATGAAGGCGGGGCATATGCGGATGGAGCCTTGGGTAAACTAAAGATTGATCGAGAGCATGGATATATTGCATTTAAATCTAAATCAATTGAGGTACTACATGTCGTATGAGTGATTTAATTATTTATTGCTGCTCACTGTGAGCAGAGAGGCTATCTTTGCTCAGACTTCGCTTGTATGCTATAAAGCTAACGTTCTGCTGATCGAAATATACCTGAAACTTCTCCAGGAGTCGCTGAAAGCCGCTCTTCAATGCTGCCGAGCTAACATCCTGAAGCTTATCCAGCACATAGTCAATTAGAGCGTTCATCAACATCTGCAGATGGAAAAAATATGATGAAAAATATGATACGTAATATACATAGATTAAATGTACCCTCATATGCTCCTGCGATACACGGCAGCGAGTGTGTACTATGTGATTGTCGCTCAACATTGCTTGGAATAATACCGGATCGTTCTGATCAATTACGGCGCTTATATAGCGCATAAAGGCCAAGGAATGTCCATGCAGGCGATGCATGTCAAGCTTGCCATTATAGCGAAAGTTCTCAAATGTTTTGTAGTATTTCATAATAAAGCTACAAATTGATGCTTATTTAACATTATGTTTCGACAAGCTAATTGTCTCATCTCACGTAAAGTATATATCCTTGCCATAGCGCCGCTCGAATGGCTTGATTAGCTTCCAAGCCTGCCGCAAAGCCAATCTTTCGTTAAGCGTAAAACCACTCTCATCATACACAGGTCCGACTTTCAGTACTGGCAATGGCTTTGGAAAGATGGAGGCCACATCGATACTACTACTACTTTCATGTACAGAGGATAATTTTGAAGTAACTGAAAGTTTGGCGTGTATTTTGCTCATCTCGCAATTTTGAGTATTTTATAGATTTCAAATAAAAAATTATAACTATGGGTGCTATTGAAAATATGACGATCGTACAAAATATGTCTGCAAAACAAATGCAAAAGATGACGTTCAGTATTAGATAACTGATTAAATTTAGTACGCCTATGTGATTTTGTGTAGAAATTTGGAAAAAAGATTTTATGGATTGTGTTCTATCCACATTAGGTGGCTGTAGTTTCATCGTATTTCAATTAATCAATTGATTAATTTACAGGCTCAGATCAAACACTTGCTGATGAACGTTGAGCACAACAATAATATCTTTCATGGAAGCACGTTTATCCGGATCGGGACTCCAGCAGCCGATCATCAATTCTTGAATCTTGTCGGGACAGTGAAATTGCAATTCATCCAATGACGGTCGTTCTCCTAATATGATTATTATGCATTGATTATATAATGAACTATTAAAAATCAACATATTACATACCCGTTTCCACTGTTTGACATATTGTCGAACTATCGGTATACCTTTCAAATGGCTTTTTCCGTGACAGCATTTCCCACAGGGTAATGGCAAAGCTATAAATATCACATTTTTCGGTGTATTTTTCGTTATTGTAAACCTGTCGGAAACAGAACTCGTTGTGTGAAGCTGAATATTAATTGAAAATAAAAAAAAAAATAGTGCAACCTCTGGTGCCATATAGGCGATATCGCCAACATTGCTAGTCATAATGGTATCCAGCTGTCTTACGAAAGAGAAATCATAAATCTTTACATATCGATGTTTATCACAAAGTAATATACTGCGCGGGCTTATGTCCCGATGGACCACTGCCTGGTCATGCAGATAGCCAATACCCTATCCAATAGCAAAGATAATAAGGTATACTTAGGTTAGTGTACAGATACGCTTACTTTGGCGATCTGGAGCGCCCAGTTTATAACATGTTGCAATTCATACTTCGTCTGTTCGGTATGTAAAAAGCTGTTTAACAATCCGCCATCCACGTATTCCATTACCAAATAGAGAGTAGGACCCTCGATCGATGTGCCATGTAGAAATATGATATTCTCATGGTTTGCACGAAAGAGCTGTTTGGTTCCTCTTCTGATAGAATTATATGAGCTAATGTGTGCCTTTTTTACAGCAACATCTTTCGTAAGCCATTTGGCTTTATATACTTGTATAAAGCTTCCGTTACTGATTACCTAGAAATGGTCTTAAAGTATTTCGTCTGCATTTTAAACGCATCGATTTTTTAAAACATACGTCACCAAGAATTATGTCGTCAAAATTTATGGCATTCATTTAATATTATGTATTTTAGATTTTAGGTATAGAATGAATCAGAATTCTATAAAAAAAAAGATAAGAGATAAGCTTTCCAAACTCGAAGCATTTTTATATGTTGACGTTGCAACAAATGACAGCCCTTTCTACAACACTTATGGTTAATTATAATTATTTAGATCAAAATGTATTTTATAAAAATGAGTTTAAAATTATAGTTATTATATTTGACTGGTTTTTTACTTGTGCGAGTACATATTTAAAATTTGATATATAACTTCCAGTCGAGTTGCAGTTAAACATATCGAGCATCGAGACTAATCGATTAATCGATAACTGTAATTATCTGTGATGGGCAACAGTTACGTCATACGTAAACAGCTGATATTGCCGCCGAGAACATAAACATGTCGCTGGCGAATCCTTTTCGTGCCGTATTTCGTCTACCAAGTCGAAATCAACGCGTCAATTGGTTTCCTGGCCACATGACCAAGGGTATGCGGCAAATACAACAGAAACTACGCAGCGTCGATTGCATTGTTGAAATACACGACGCCCGCATTCCCCTAGCAGGTCGGAATTCTCAATTCTTTGAAACAATTACAGGTATGCATATGAGATATGCTTTGCTTACGCATTTTTAACGACAAAACATGTTGCTCCCACAGGCAACGGCGTCAAACCACACATATTAGTCCTGAATAAGGTAGACCTCATAGGGACCAAGCAACAACGTGGTATACTCAAGCAGCTGCGAACAGTGCAGCCCGAACTGAGAAACATTCTCTTCACTAACTGCAAAGATCAGCGGAATACCGGCGTATTGGACATACTGCCATTGGCAACGAAGTTGGTGGCCGAAAGTAGTCGATTTAATAGAGCACAAAGTGCCGAGCACAACATTATGATTATTGGTGTTCCCAATGTGGGTAAGAGCAGCATTATTAACGTACTGCGAAATGTGCATCTGAAGAAGCGCAGCGCGGCACGCGTCGGCGCCGAGGCCGGCATTACTCGAGCCGTCGGCGAACGCATTAAAATCCAAGAACAACCATTGGTCTATATGATTGATACACCCGGCATACTGCAGCCGTCTGTTACCGACGATGAAATGGGCATGAAATTGGCACTAGTTGGCTGTGTGCCAGATCACATCGTGGGCGAAGATCTGATAGCCGACTATCTGCTGTACTGGCTGAATAAACACAGGCGCTACGAGTACGTCGACAAACTGGGTCTAACCTCCGGTCCCAGTGATAATATAAGCGCCGTTCTTGCTGAATATGCACAACAGCAGGCGATGTTCCATCGCGTTAAGCAATACAATGGACAGGTGGAAGTGATGACAAATTTATTGGCCGCCGCGCGAAAATTTATCAGCTTCTTTCGCACTGGACAGCTGGGGCCTATTAATCTAGACGAAGAAAGTTCTTACCATATTTAAACGGAGTTCCTTCTAATATAGTTTCAAAATTGTTTTAATTTCTAATCAAGTAAATCTCTAAAATCAATTATCGACCATGGGCACATCAATGGCAATGTTACCCACGCCCGGTACGGGTATAGAGTAGGAAACACCAACATTGTCCATATCAGTATCAGCCGCTTCTTCCTGCGGCACGGCCAACTCTATGGGCACTTGTTTGTTTGGTTCCACGGCCGGCATCTGTTCGGGCTCAACGTTGCATACGGTTGGCTCTACTGCATCCGTGGGTGCACTGCTGACAGCGTAGCCAGTTTGTGCCGCTACTGCGCGCAATTCCTCTGGAACGCCTTGCATGCGCTTACTGATGTTGCCAGTGTAGGGTGCTATCTTCTGATAATATTCGATAAGCATCTGCGGATCCTTCTCCGACACCTGGCTGCTTGGCACTAAATCGAACTCGTCACAATATTGCCATCTGACAAGGTATTTAATTTCCCCGGTAACGTCGGTTGCGCCCATGATCTCAGCCAGTTCCAAACCACGCTCATAGCCGCGCGGCTTCTGTATTTCCTCACATTTAGGTTTCTTTTCCCCGCGCTTCTTAGATTTTGCTCGGGACTCCTCAAACTTTTGTATGAGAGCTGGGCAGTCACAGTTTTCCTCCGGTTCCCAGGTATTATCCCCGGATGGATAGCCACGCCACTTAATGAAATACTCTACTTTGCCATCCGCAGTGATACGCTTGTCCACAATGCGCTCAACAACAAAATTCGGTTCGTTTTTTACCATTTCTCTTGTAGATTGTTTGTTTTCGGATATTATTTATAAGCTTGTAAGTGTTGGCTAATGTTGCAAGAAAAATATCGATTAGTCGCATTTTTCATACTGCTGTCTGTCTTCTGTTAACTAAAGCACTTTTCTGTTAAGCGCAGGATCTATCGATAATTTAAGACGACCCGAAATCTAAGCTCGTAATTTGTTTGCGTTTCTGAGTCGTAGTGCGCACATGCGATTTTAAATTTTTGCGTTCAGACAAACCATTTATTAAGATTGTTTTTAATAATGGACAAGTTTGAAAACGATTGGTCGGATTGGAACCCCCTAGCTGAGCATTATTTTGACGAGACTTCAAACAAATATGAAAGCGTCAATGAAGCGCCTGCAAAAGATAACTGTAAACAGGATCGGATTACCAAACAAATGCAATATCCATACTTGGTTATTAAAAAAAGTAATCAATTTATTACTAACAATATGTTGAGAAATTTTTTTGGCGACATTATTCACGACATCGAATTTCGCTCACGTGTATTTTGTGTTTATTTTCATAATATTGGGTATGTTTTTTAAAAGTATTTCCTTGATTTTCGAACTGTGTGAATTTTCCATTATCTCGAATCAGATCTCTTGAGGCAGCCTGGACAAAGATTCGTCAGTTTCCAAATATTATATTTTGTGTCGAGAATCGTTCACAACAAAACGACACTTTTTTACCCTATCAACCAAACGAGTCGGAAGAAACTAAAATGCCCGAATCAGAACCAACTGCAAACGCTGTGGATTTGGAATCTCGCAGTATTCAAGTGTCGGCGAATCCAAAGAAGCATCCAGAGTTCTTTAAATCTCCCATAGTTATCAAAGCTGACTACAACGCCAAAAACTCGCTGCTGGCCGTAAGCGATGTGAATCAACGTTATCTGAACGTTAAATATGAGTTCACGCTGGAGCGATGTGGAGCTTACGAGTTGCAGAAGATTGTTGAAAAGGATCAGGCCGTGCTTCACTATCGATCCGGCCGCATAATAGTAACGTAGGTATTTGTAATAGTCAAACAAAAAGTTGAATATATTTCAATTGGTTTATAGACCCCACAACCAACAGGAATCTAAGGCGTGTGATGGTGAATCAAAGTTCCCGCAATTGGCAAAGAAGTGTTTAGCTTGCAATTGTTACACTGACAACAGTTGCAAATTTTGCCGGATGCCCTTCTGCAATCCAGTGTGCTTTGATGCCCTAGCCGCTGCGCACAAGGAAAGCTGTGACAAGGGTAGGCCACCCGTGATTGACGATACCATAACCGCAAATATCGCAAGGGTAAAGCTGCCGCCCTCCGGCAGCAACGTCAAAATCACCGCATTCGAACAGACCAACGTATTGTACGTGCGCTCAGCCGAAATTGTCACCGAGATTGCCTACTACAAAGTGCTCTCGGACGTCATGATGCGGGGCAAATTGGCGCCCAAGCTGACTCAGTTGCCGCAGTGCGGTCAGTTAGTCATCTACAAGTCCAACATTCAAACTGTACGAGCTATGGTGCTTAATGTCGACAATCCGCAATCCGTATATGTGGTGTGTGTGGATTATGGCAACGTGGAGATTACAACGCTCGAATATCTGCACGAGTGCAGCGCCTATTTG